GACTAAACTCGCAGACTATCAGCGATTCTGAGCGATAAAAGTTTGGCAACAAATTGGTGTTTAAAACCACAAACTAAACAGGCGTTTGATTGCATGTGACTGTGCGAGAGAGAGAGAGAGAGAGAGAGAGAGAGCTATGTTTCACTCTCTGATAAACGCCACACAAATTGTCCTAAAAATACATTTTCCTCTTATTCTTGACTTATTTACCGATTTATTAATACACGACTCAATGAAATACTTAGAAAAACTTTTTCGCCACTAAAAACATGTCATATGTTTGGCTAAAGTTTTGCGTAATGAATATTTAACTCGCGTTTCCCTAGCCTTTAGGCACAACGAGTTAATCAAAGAGTTTTTACTGTGTTTTTCTAAACGCAAAATATATGAAAAATAAATATTTTTGGCTCCAATCGCGAAGTCTCTCTCTCTCTCTCTCTCTCTCACACACACACACACAATCACTCACTCACTTTCACATTAAAAAAATATTTTATATCTTTTTGAAATAAAAATAAAATAAACTCTATTTTCTACTAATAGTTCCCCAAAAATCTCTAATTAAACTGTATTTCAAAACGTTTATCCAATGCTTGTAAAAATATTGAATTAATTATTCCTACAAATAGAGAATTTTAATGACTCTGAGCTACCAGTGCTATGCCGTACACACCGGTGACATTGAAGCCGGAAGCCACAGAATCGGGTATATTTAGCCACAAACATATGACACACACCACCAGTGCCTGTGATCGCACCCACACATCAACACTGGCTGTTATTCTTGAGCCAAATAAACACTATATGTGTATATAATGCACACAAAGAATTGCATTCTTCGCGTGAAATACTCGTTAAATGCGATCGAAATGTATGTTTGGAAACACTTTCAAAGTTTTGTTTTTTTGCGCAAATTATTTGCCAATTCATACGTAAATAATTGCATATATTTTGCTAACAAATGGCACATAAATTAGTCGACACATGAATACAACAAATCGCGAAACGATTCGCTAATTCATTGAGAGATAGGCATCGATAGTGAGAGTAATAGAGAAACTCACGACTCGTGCTGTGGTTTTGGTGGTCGTGTCATAACGACTGATCACTTCAGTCTGAATGTAGGCTACCGGTGCGCTGTCCACCGAGTTCTTGCTCTCCTTGCTATCACTTTTGGATCCGCTGCTGATGTCATACTTGGTGTGACTTTTTCCGCGGAATAATTTGTTTCCCATTTTGTTTGTCAATGCATTCAAACGCAGCGACAAATAGTCACAAAAATTTGTATAAATCGGTCGCAAATAACAAATGTAACACTCACTGGAGATATAACTGCGAAAAACAATGTAATATCAATTGTTACAATTATATATTTGTACAGAAGTTTTGTGCAAAGTTTGTAATACTAAACAAAACTCGCATCTCATATGTCTAGCGATATATTGTATGAAAAAATCAAATTATTTACAGTAAATTGATGTCTAATTCACAGTAACACTCAAATGATTTATCATATTTTTATATTTATTAAAATTATCAAATTTATGATTCATTACTATGTATTTATTGAGTAGTGAACGCTATATTATTACCACTTTTGGTACAGTACTACAGTATTACCAATAATCATATCATAAGTATGTATAATATATAACTAATTGCAAGTTATATCAAAAAATATTTATTAATATTATATTAATATTTATTTTTAGTTTCACCGTATTTGCTACTATCTTATCAGACATATAGTGTAATAAACTCTCAATACTTGACATTTATAGTATACACTATACTTATAATTGATTTGTTTGTAAAAATTCATCGATAAATATTTTTAGAGAAAATATTTTATAACTAAATAAATTGATTAAACATTAAATTAAAATTAATCAATTGTTTACCTTTAAGGCACTTTATAATCCCCACTATGTGTTTGTAAATGAACTTAAATTGACTTTCAAAAGAATTTATTGTATGTGTAGAAAAAAATTCAACAAAAAATTATCATTAATTCACTTTTAATTACATGTAATTATTTATATTATATACTATCTATTAAACATGATTACTAGTATTACTGTTATACTCAAAAACTATTGCATTATATCATAAATTCGTGTTTCATGAATGTCTATAATTCACAAACTATTACTCCAATCATTGATATATCCGTTTTGGGAAACAGTTTGGCTCCGGAAGGGAGCCGTCAGATAAGCGACTGTTCCGTTAGAAACACTGATTTAGTCATTAAAAATACAATGTATTTGTGTTTTCGTATATGTATTGTACAGTAATTAAAACATACATTTTCTATCGACATTTCCATAGCAATTAAACATATCTTAAATTCTTTGGTCGATTCGTCAGATATTATATCTTATATAATACTGTATCCAAAAATGTATTGTCTGTCTGTCTATACGTGTTGAATGCATATATGATTAGTGTATTCGTGGGTACTATTCATGAATGGGAGTAACACTAGACATGAGTTTCCTTAGGATTAAACTGGAATTAATCGCTTCACAAGTTATTCATAAAACTACTTAAAAACTATTTATAATATGTTTTGATTCACTTATTACATCGACCTTATAGTCTATGAGCCAATTATATGCAGAATATTTCATATCAAGGCTTAAAACTCATGTATTAATCATTTTTTGTGGCGAAGATGTCATTATCACTGCACTTCTTGTGATGTATTATCAGATTATGAGACATGAGATTAGAGTTGTATTTAATAATAGCTTTTAATAAGACTAATACTCGTAATCTTGAGATTAGATTCGTATTTCCAATCGACGCTATTGTTTGTTGTTTTAGTTTGTTTTGCAAAATATTTCTCACTATTAGTCGACTGAAAAAATATTTTGTTTCCAACAAAAAACATTTTCTTATTTCTATTTTTACATATTTTTATCGCAACGTTTGTATTACAGCAAGAATTTAGTGAAAAAACTTTTATAATAAGACTGAAGGACTTCATATTAAATATAAATATCAGTTATTTTTGTAATAAAATTATTAATAATGCTATATTACTGAATATCTTAGTGCTGTATATACTGTACTACATAATCACTACTTTTGGGAATTTTTTCAAAACTGATGATCTAATCTATTAATGATTAAATTGTAGTTGCTTATCAATTATTACCTATTATTACAACTAATTGTAAGTAATTATCAATCAAATTCCTTGACATTTAATAATAGTTGTCATAAATATAATCAATGATTACTAATCGTTATTTGTACTGTACACATTATATGTATAAAATAAATCATTATCTATAAATTGATTATAATAACTCGTGATGTAAATAGCCGGGACATTAAACACAATTCTCATACAGTATCACATGGGAAAGGTAGGTAAAAGTTCGCATTCATTATAAACCAAATCTAATTATACACACAGACTAACGGAACCACAGAATTGTGTTGTTTTTATTATTTTTGGAAACTATAGTAAACTGTATTTACATAACAATGAGAGTCATTATATTCCCATTGAATTGTGTTTACGTACTGAACGCTAAATAAGACACGAATTATTTAAAAAGGCGTTTCATTCACTTTATTTCATATAAATTCAATTATTTATATATAATTTAAGTTGACATCTTTAAAATGACTTTCAATTATGAGTACTTGTATTTATCATTAAAAAATTATGTTTAAATAAAAACATAAGTGAAAAACATTAACCAAAATATGAATACAACGAGAAATGAGAGCAAATAACGAGAAAAAAAAGAAAATACAAAAAAAACTTTTTCCACATTTTGTTCGTAAATATTTTCATTTGCAAAGAGTGTATATATAAATAGCCGTAAATAATAATCATTACAATAATAGTAATAACTCTCTTATAAATGCATATAATGTTCATATATTTTAATTTACAATATATTTCATGTGTTAACCCATAATATAAAGAATGCATAAGTTTTTTGTCCAACAGTTATATAAGAATTGTCTAAAACATAAAAAACTTTTTAATTAACAAACTTTCAGTCCATTAAAAGTCCATTAAATCCATTCATTCCGCGTATTTCGCTTCACTATAATCGTCGACCGGTCGGTGCTATCCGTAGGGCTCTCCCTATTATCGGTCATATTTGGCTGACTTTCGGACAGATCACCCATTTTTCGCGCGAATATCGATCGCTTGAGGTTTGCGTCCAATTGTATGGAACTCTGGGAACCGTGAGCTCCCGTTCCGGGCCTCAGCCCCCCGGGAGGAGCGCCTACGCCCGCCTCCACGCCACTCACACTACCGCTGCCTATGGTCTCGGAGTTCATGGACTCCTGGCTCCGGGAGAAAGGCATCACTTTATTACGCGTGGCTTCGATGAGCTGACGCCACCGGTTGTTGTTCCCGCCCCTCCTCTTGTTGGCCAACCCGCGGGCCAGGCGGGAGAAGCGGCTCCGGGAGGACGAGGACTTGACTTTGTTTGGCGACCGGGGCGATGGAGTGGCCTCGTAGTCGAAGTCGTCCTCGAAACTGGTCACCCGATCCATCATCAGGAAGTCGAAGTTGAAGCCCTTCATGAGTCGCCTCTCCCGCTGGCGACCCCTTTTGCCCACCGATGTCGACGTCCCGTCTTTGCCTGCGGTTTGCGAATGAATTTTAGAAATATAGGGAAATATGGGTTACAGTTATGACACAAATACACGC